CAATTTAATTTACAAACCCCAAAAATATATTTTATGTTTCTGCTAAATATTTAAGAAATAAAAATAGATCTTTTCATTACAAAAATGTTTTCTTAAAAACAAAGTGTTTTTGAGTGTTTTTGAATATAGATTTTGTGTTTCTGTTTCTGTTTTGATTTGAGTGTACGACTCCATCTTTCACTGATAAATAGCTGCAGGCTGCACAAGTGCAACGGCTTCAAGTTGAAGTTTGTTTTCCTTTTTTCCATACATTTACTTCTTCTCTCGACTTTTTCCACAACTTCTTCATTTTGTTTAGTTTGTTTTGCTTTTGTGGGCATCGGCTTACAAAACAAACCGAAAGCCAGGCAACGACGAGCAAATAAAACGGTTTTTTTCCAGGAAACGTGACAAAACGTCAATAGCTGGCAAAATGCGGAGTAGTTCGTTGGTTGGCTGCAACCACAGCCACACCGAGAGGCGACTCGCCCGCTGCTGCTGCTGCTGCCCAATGGCGACTAGTTGATGTTTGTTGTTGCAGTTGTTGTGTTGTGGGCACCATGTGACAAATCGTAGTTGTTGTTGTTGCTGGTGTTGTTGGTGTTGCAAGAGGCAATTACTTAGTTCGCGCAGTCAAAATACGTAACGTAATCTAAGACCCCGCTGCAGTTGCGGCTTCCACTTGTGGCAGCCTCAGTGCGAGAAAGTTCTCGGAATGCAGTCGCAGATTTACAAACATTCCTGCCTCAGACAACATTCCGGGAAAGGGCCAATGCACTGTGGTGCAGCCGAGGACCCGCAACTGACCAAAACAAATCGCTATATATACATTCTCAGCTCAAGCAGAACTGATCAATACCGGGAAAGTGCAACATGTCTAATTGTGAGTATTGAGAAAGCTTACTTGAATTAAAATTCAAGCAACTATCTCGAAGAAAAATCACATGATTAATAAATCAAATAAATGCAATAAATGGACACAATAAAATAGTAAGTGATTGACCAAGATACTTTTTATTCTGGCCATAAATCTGTCCAGCATAACTCGTAACGAGTGAAAGTGAAGCAAATAGTCGAAATAAGTCTTTTAAATATGCCAAATAAAATGTTATTATCATAGAGATCACCTCCAAATCGGATGCAGCTATAACGATAAGCAGCAATTTATGCTTATCAGAAAAACGGAGAAAAAAATATAAAATATAAAATAAAATACGCCCACCAGTTAAAACTGATTTAAAACCGAAATTTAAATGCTGCTGGCTCCACGTGCGTTGAACGGTTCATAACTCTGGCTAGAAGGGGGCGCGGCATGGGGGCGAATACTTGATGCTTATCACGCTGATGGAATGACAAAGTGACCAGCTGAGTGTGCGTGTGTGTTTGTGTGTGTGCGTGTGTGTGTGACGTGCACAGTCGTAAGGTCATAAAAAACATGGTATTCCGCTCAACCAACTGCCCCCTCCACCCTCAACGCCCCACAGACGCACACACATGTGCCGCAATTAGGCGGCATTTTGACGCCCCAGCTTGTTGTCCACTTTATTATTACTTTTTTTTGGAGCCCCGGCGTTTGCCGTTTTTTTTTTTAGCTTTTATTTTATATACTCGTTTTAATCAGATTTTTGGATTTTGTTCATGCTGTGCAGTTTAGCATTTTATGATTTTTTAATTTTATGTTGATGAGCCTCATTGCTTGCATATTTGATTAAAATTGTTGTTGTTTTATTTTCTGTTTCTGTTTTTGTTTTTGTTTTTGTTTCTGTTTTTATTTTATTATTTGTTTTGTGTCGTTTGGGTTTGGTTCTTTGTCGCCTTTTGTTTTCCTGAACTTTAGTTTGTCTTTATCTTTATGTGATTAAATGTTGCTTTTTTAATGGTTCTATTCGTTACAATTTGAATTCTGAAGTTTTGATGTTATATATCACGATTTTTTCGATTTTTATGTGAAGAAACACAGCTGGTGGGCTAATATTAAATGCAACTAGCTCGAACTGTGATTTAAGATCAGATTTATAGTTCTTGCAAGTGTCTTATCATAAGAAGTTTACATTTATTACAAATGTTATGCATCTCAGATACATTTCATATTAATTAAAATTTCTAATAATATATTCTTAAATGATGTACAGATTTATTAGCTTATAAAATGCTTAAATCATTTTATATCGAATAGTATATATTACCAGCACCCAAGACTGTTTAAGTTTCGCTTAATCACAGGCCCTAAAGAACCCCCAAGACAAACACACCCACACTGAAAAAGAAAATAATAAAACGCCTCCATAAACCCAGAACCATAAGCATAACGAGTCTGAAATCAGTCTAGAGCGATAACATCTAACAATTAGAAGGCCTTCAGGTGATCGGGCTAATGTTTTATTTTGCCATATTTATGATGATGCATTTTAAGTGCACAGATCTCCAACTCGATATCGATATCAAGCGACGCCCATTCTCAAAAGCCCAAAAATGCTGGAAAAAAAAAAATATATATATATACATAAATTGAAGACTGAGCGCTAGCTAACCGAATAACAACAAAAAAAATTCCACACTGTGACTAATAACTTAATTAGAAACTCAGGCAATGATGAAGAAACAAAAACAACAACAACATCAACTTGCTTATAAAACTTAATAAGTTGCGGCAAAAATGCGACGCGTTCGTTACTTTTTATTGAGTGAAAAACAAACCGAAACGAAAAATCTTTAAAATATCTACGATCAATGACCATAAAAATTCCAAGCATAAATGCATTTTATGTGATTTTGTCGTGAAAACTTTTCGAACCAAAAACGACTACATTTTATTTCTGTAACATCGTGAGACATTAAAAATAAACATTTTAGTTTTGTCTGTGGGGCACCTCGGAGCACAGGTTTTTCTTTTGGCAATTATTGGGTTAAAGGTGGAGAATAAAATAAAAGCAAAAATAATAGGCTTAAATATATTATGTAAATATTAAAAAGCATTTACAAACTAGTAATGGCTTAATTATTTGTTGGAGTTTACCAGTATATTACATCAGATATTAAAAAAAAAAAATAGATGATATTAAAAAGGGTGTAAAATTGATAATTACATGGCTAATATGTTGGCAATTGAGTATTGCAGGTGTTATATTATATATTAAAATTAATAATATACTTTCCGACATTCTCAGCTACGCCTGCTATAGCTAAATAACTTTACCGTTCGCCAAGAGGCAGGTCTCCCTATTTCCCCCCGTTAGCTGCCTCTTCTGCTGATAACTAGCACAATTGCTCATCTGCAGCAACGACAGTGTCGTGAACTGAAACCCACTGCGTGTCCACTGGAAATGCACAAGATAAACAATGCCAGGCAAAATGCCTTGAGGAAGCAGTCAAGAACTCGAAGCTCGAAGAAAAACAAACAAATGCAGGATGGAGCGTGTCTCTAGCCAGAGTCCAAGTGCAGTGTTGGAGATGTTGGAGAAGAATTCTTGCACTCACAAGTGCAAACTTGAAAGTATATTCTCTCTCTCTCCATCTCTCTCTCTGGCATGTGTCACTAAACTAATGAAATCAATAACAACAATAACAATAACGACAAAAGGCAGGAGTCAAGCAAGTCAAAGTGCCTGCCTGCCTGCCTGCCAAAAGGTGTGAAGCACAAAAGTCACTCAAGCGCACTGGGCCCCCAAGGGCTCCCCCAAAGGGGCTTATGAAATATGAGAGGCCCACCAAGTAACCCCATACCTTACCCCTACCCTTGCCCAACCCTCCCCCTCTAGGCAAGGCGGGCGTCTTTTTGCTAAGAATTTCTGTGCATAAATTTAATTACGGGCAGCAGACAGACGACGAAGTCAACGTTTCTGCTGAAGCTGAAGCTGAACCCAGTCACCTATCAATCTAACTCGAGTGGTCTTCTCTCCCTTCTCTCACTGTGCTCTTCTCTCTCTCTTCTCGCTTCGCTCTCTCTCTCTCCCTCTCTATCTGCCTTATGCTGCTTTTCTTTGGCTGCGCTGTTGTGTGCCGCATTCAAGTGCTTTACTTATTAGTGGCTCGAAGTTCAATAGCCCTGACTCTTGAGCGGGGCGTGGCCAAAGATACATTGTTAGTTTATAATTAGTGGAGAGAGTAGGCAGCAGTGCAAGAAAAAAGACGCGCACCTACTACACACACACACACACACACACATCGGATATATACTTGAGTTTGGGTTTTTTAATGCATTTGCATCTCCATCTTTTTTTGTGATATAATCATTTGGCTGACGCAGCTGGGCAGTCTTTTAAAATTAGAACGCAGCACACCTTGTTCAGCAGATTCAGTTTGTTAACTGTTAGGCAAATATCAAACATGGCGCACTTGGCAAACACAACTCAAATACCTTCTAGAAGAATCTAAAGAGCCGAAGGCGGAGAGAAAGAATCTTAAAGGGAGCTGCTTATACAGCCTATCAAAAGGCAACAGTTCGGGCTGTTCCAAAAATAAATAAATAAAATAATCGACATATAAAACGCAAAAGAATCAAGCAAATTATTATTGACATGATTATTATATTATTAAAAATGTATAAGAAGCATTAATTAATCTATTAGCATACAAATTATAGAGAAATATTAAAAAAAAATATTATTATTTATATATTGCTTACTTTTCTCAAGAACAAATATATATGAATATATTAGCATACTAAGTATAGAGCAATACTATAAAAAATATATATTTATATATTTCTTGAATTACAAAATATTTAATTGGCATATTTTTCTCACTGTTGGAGACCAGTGCCAAGGTCAGGCGGGTGGGCTCAAAAGATCAAGCGTTTAAAGTTGAAAGTTGAAAGTAATACAGCAATTACGTTGTTATTACATATTAAAATTAGTCATAGCCCTTCTAATGAAATGATCAGGTTGCTCGGACACGCTTAGACACAGCGCGTCCGTGTTTGCATTTAATTAAAAAATTGTTTTTTTCAGCCAAATATTTACATCAATTAAAAGCCTCACACACACATTTAAAATTGTGTTGTTTTTTGTTTTTCTTTACAGAAAATATAACGATAGTCGGCCTCCCGGACTATGTGAACAACGAATTCAAAATAGCTCTGTTCGCAAAAGAAACGCAAAGATATTTGTGTTTCAACGACAACTGGAGATTAGTTGGCATGGTAAGTTCTAACCTTGAGCTAACTCGTCTATACGAATCTAAGCAAATAACACTAAGGAATCAATCAATCAATTTATAAATGCCTACAGGCCCGTGACACTGATTAGTCATGCAAATTGATTAATCAAACTTAAAACTTTTATTAATACTTACTTCCGTTTATGTTATGCTTAGGTTGTGAAACGATTTCCTGAATAGTAATTAACTTAATTCGAATTACTTAATTTAGTATTTACTTTTAAGTTCATAAATATTCAGGCGTAAATCGTTAGAAACCACTTTTAAATGGAATATTAGAATCTAATTTGAAATTTAGCCAAGCTGAACAATTGCTCATTTGTTCTAGCAAATATGCACTCAAAGATTACGCGACAATTGGGGTTAATAGAGCACATAAGTAAAAAACTTTAATAATAACTCTAATTACATCTAGTGGGATTCCCACTTTTTGATAATACCCATAAATAAATAAATTCAAATGAGTTCGCGTTATTTGACAGACTTTTATGGCTTTCTAAGCAATAGAGAAAAAAAGATGAGTAGAACAAATATAGGCTGCATTCTGGTTTCCTCGTGATTGCATCTTTATGGCGGCCTATAGAGTACCACACATACATATTATGTTTTATGATATGTACTTAGTGCCAAGGCCCCAAATGGGGCGCCTTGTAACCAATTTGATTACATTGCATTGCATTTCATTGGATTGGATTGCATTGTACTTGAAACGTTGCCGCTTTATGCCTTATGCAAACTAACTGTACAAACACTATAATTTATGGCATGTAGCACATAATGGTTTTATGCAAACGAGCGATTATAACGACAATGGCGATACTTGAACGATTTGGCCAAATTGCATAAATTGCCAGCTCAGCGACTGAGTGCCTAAGCGCCTAAGCGCCGTCTCAGCTACGACTAAAGTAAATACATTTTTAAGTTTTTTTTTTGTCATGTATACCCTGTAAAAATAGTTGTGGTTGAAATGGTTGGCATGTATATAAAAGATATAAACATATCTATCATGTCGTATAAAAATGTCTTACTCAAATTTAGTCTGTCGGCTCTCATAAATAGAAAGAGAAAACTTCTTTGGAGTTTCACTAGAAGAAGCTAAGTTGCTAAGATATTGTTAAGAAAAATATAGAAAGAAACTAATGTGTATAGTGTTGAATAGAATGCTCATAGAAATACCCAAAGGGAACTCGTTAATCAAACACAGAGTATGCTCCAATCGATCACAAACGCTTTGACATTACTTAAATTGTTATGGAAAACCTGTTGCAGTTGCACCAATTCTGTCATGGAAACCGCGGGACAACAAAAAACAGAAAAACATTTATTACAATATTGAAATTTCATATGCAATTAGAGGCACATAAACATAAATATAATAAATGCTTATAACTGTGGGGCGAGACGACAAATTGCTCACACGCAAAATAATACAACAAAACTGGCACAACAATTTCAAAAATTCGACTTATTTTTTGCGCTGTCTGTTTACGCGACGTATGCGTGATATTTGCATAAAATATTAAGTGCACACAATTTGTGAATAGTATCTTAACTGTATCCATGCGTAGCTCCCATTTGCAACTGATCTCGAACAGTGAGTTGGGGCGGGAATTTACCCTGTGTGATTTTTTTGAGACATTGTAACAGTTTCTGCTGAGATAGATAAGCAATTTCAATGCCAATCAAATAGGCAAACACTCAAATGAATCGAGTGGCTCGCATAGATTCGCCATCATAAAAATCATTGAGTAGACAAACAATTCATATAAGCACGAGTTTAATTCATAGATAGATAGATATATCTAATCAATCAATCAAATGACGCGGCATTTCTATGCTGTAATTGCACAAATATTTCAATGTCCTTTCAAACGAATGCAACAACAATTGTACAGTTAGCTGGCCAAAGCGAGCAAACAACAACAGCTACAACAACATTGAAATACAATAGAACTCTCAGCAATATGAACTGAATCTATCTCTAAGGTCAAAACTTGCACTTGTCATTTTATTGCTTTCGATTATGATCGTGAAATCCAACTTGAATTCATGTGCAAATAATATTAAGTACTGTGATTTTTTTCACACTCTTCACAAAGTAATATTAAACAATAATTAACAGTTTTGTCGAAGGTCAATAACTGTGAAATATGTGAATGAATAGGTCGAGGCTGTAAATCGTTTGATAAACTTAGATTGAATCACTTTGGCTTCGAGTGGAACCCACATACCATGACCATGACGATTGTGCATTGATACAAGTGCAAATTAGTCATATGTTATCATAATTCTGAAAATGTACTATAAAATAAAGTAATTATACATTTGCCTTAGTCAAAATCAAATGGCAAACAACTGAGATCTAACTGAGATCATCTTACTTATTATTTGCTCTAAGTTTACTTAGTTCTAGCATTTCTAATAAATATACAAAATAAAAACAGAAATCGAAGTAGCGCCAATTGGCATGAAAAACAAATTATGCTGTGTCTTTCGAAGCAGCCGCTTCTCAGTTCCAATCCGCTGAGAAGCTGTTCAAAAATAGCAATTAATTGCTATAAATACTATAATTATAAGTACAACAGATAGATGATCGCCAAAATGTTAAGTGGCTCGACTAAATATGGCATAATTGCTGGACTCGAAACAAATTCTTATCTGCGTCATCTGCAACACTTTAAATCAAAATACGTTACGAAGCAGTTGAAAGGTGTTTCCAACTTTAACAGCAGCAATAACAACAGCAACAACAACAACAACAACAATCAAGCCGCGTTTCATTTTGCTTGTTGTTTTGGTATTTCAAGTGTTTTATAAATAAACACACTCCAGCTTCACAATTGCTGCTGTGATTGTTGTTGCTGTCAATGTTGCTGCTGCTTAACCTCTCACTCGCGAGCGGCTTGTCAAAATATTGTCGACAAGTTTTCACACAGCGGAAGTGCCGCTCATAAATTGCATTGTCGAGTTTAGGGAAGTTAGCCAAAGGTTCAACATAAGCCATCCCTACACAGTAAGAAAACGTAGCAATCATTGATTTTACATTTAAATGCAGCTCGATTGAGAATTGATTGAGAAAATTACTTTTAAAATTGATTTTCGATCATTTTTACTGTGTACAACATATAATCCCAAACTCAATCTGTCTCAGACACTCACACTCATACTCTCTCTCTCTTTCTCTATTGCACTCATTGCAGAAGGAACTGCGCGCTACCTGCTACTTCAACGAGACCATCGTGCACGGTTATTTCGTGTTCCGTTCCGTAGTCGATCTGCAGCGACGTGTTGGGTTCACGCATCGAGGTAAACCTGTGGGGCCGAAGAAGAGCGTCAACGATGCCTGCTACATGTTCAATAAGATCGATGCCGAGCAGTTTTTCCATCAGCACACGTTACCAAAATGGCGCGAGACAACAGCAATGATGGCGAACAGCAATCGTAGCAACAGCAACAGCAGCAGCAGCAACTATCGCAAAGTCTCGCGCAACAAAAACAATCGCCACAAATCGAATAACCAAAATCAAAAGTTGCAACAGCAACATGCGCATCATGGCCATAATAGTAGTAGTAGTCTAAGTAGCACTAACAAAAAACAACAACAACAATTAGCATTAGAACGAAAACAACAGCAGCAACATCAGCAGCAGCAGCAACGGCAGCAACATCAGGTGCGACATCATCATGATGACCCCTCAAAGGTGCAGCGACGACAACAACACAGGCAACAGCAACAACGAGTCACAGCTAGTCCAACGAAACAAATGACTGCCAAGAGTGCAACAGCAACAACCACAACAACAACGACAACAGCAGCAGGAGCAGCAGCAATAACCAAATCGTCAACGACAACAATAACAACAACAACGCAAGCCAGCAAACGCAAAGGCAGACGAAGAAAGGCACGCAAGCAAAAGCAGCAACAGCAGCAGCAAGAACTGCAAAAATTGCGACTGCTATCGACAGCAGCAACACTTGAGGGCAGCACAGATGAAAGCAGCAGCATCAGCAGCAGTAGCAGCAGTTTTTCCACAGGATATGACGATGGCTACAGCAGCAGCAGTAGCATCAGCAGCAGCAGTGAGCCCTGGTCCACATGGTTTGCCACACCCACAGCTACAATTGATAGCTATACGCCATATGAGGACAGCAGCAGCAGCATCAGCAGCAGCAGCAGCACAAGCGCCAACAACATGTTGCTAACAACAGCAGAAGACAGTATTAAATCGTATAGCAGCAGCAGCAGCAGCAACTACGATGCCTGGTCCACATTCATCACCGAGCTGGAAACCGAAGCATCAGCAACAATAACAACAACAGCAACATCAACTTCAAATGTCGGCAATGACACCGACTTGCTGCAGTACGAAGCAGAGCTGGTTGAGGACGTTGAAAATGGGCTGCAATCGACGGCAAACTATGAAACCAAAGCAACAGCAACAACAACAGTAGCTAAAACTACCTCGACAACAGCAGCAGCAACAACTGCAGCAACGGCAGCAACAACAACAACAGCAACAGGCACACATGCGGTGCTGCAACAAACGCCACTGCCAGCATCACTGGCCACGCTAATGTACAACAAATGGCACACAACGCAGCAGCAACATGAACCAGGTAACACGACAGCAGCAGCAGCAAGCGCGACAGCAGCAGCAGCAAGCGCAACAGCAGTGCCCACGGCAGCAACTGCAAAGCTCAGCAGGCATCGCAGCAGCAGCAGCAGCAGCACCAACCCTAACCCCAACCAGCAACAATTGCTGCGTGACAGCAACAGCAATAACAAACAGCAGCAGCAACAGCAACACAAACTATTACGCGCAGCAACAGCAATGCCGACGGCCAGCACGCGATCAACAGTGGCTGCCAGCAGTGCAGCAACAGCAGCGGTTGCTGTCCCCATTACTACACCGCAGCAACATATTGCCGATAAGCTGTTCAGTGTTCACAAGAACATCAACAGCAATCTGAACAACACGCTAACCGAAATAGCGCCAACAGCAACTGCAACGACAACAACAACAACAGAAACAAGAGAAACAACAGGAGCAACAGTTGTTACAACAACCACTAAGAAATCGCTGCGTAAATCAATGCAAAAATTATTAGCAACACCCTATCATCAGTTGACCTATGTGCGCAACGAGGCAGGCGACATAGATATTGATAATCTGGACAATATTAGCGTATATCCCGATGTCTTCGAGGATGTCTTTAACGAAAACGACAACAGCAACAGCAACAACAATATTACAACTAACAGCACCAATAGTCGTCTGACTTTTGTTAGTGGCTTTCTGGCCACATCGCCCACAGCCGTCTTACCCGAATCTATACGCATTGGCATGATCAAAATTAACAATGTGCGACGAAAGCCCAGATTGGCGTAGTAAATTAAGCACGCAACAAAAAAAAAACTGAGTTTTGAGTGATGGGTGGATGGGTAGGGGATACAATCTGATAATCGGTTATCGGTAATCGGTTTGTGGGTGCAACAGTTAGACGAATTAGTCGCAGTTATATATATATATAACAACAAATATATATATATACATATAGACATATATAGACATACCTATACTCAGTACAGTTTTTTCGAAGCGTTTTAATTTGAATGGCAAAGAATTTATACGAGGCAAATGAGAAAACAAGTGAATGGCAAAAATTATGCATTAATCTATATATATATATATATATTATATAATGAACTGATACATATACATACTTGCCTATATATGCATATGCATACATAAATATATGAAGTTGCTTAGGCCACAAACTTTCGGCTTATTGATCTGATTGATGATGATGATGATGATGATGCCTCAACTCGGTCAGAACTTTGCAACACTTGGCTACACACCAACACACATACACACAGAAATTAAGAAACTCAGGCCACATTTTCATCAAACACTTGAAGCTAAGGCGGCAGTAAATACCAGCAATTACATAAACAATTACTTTAGTAATTGTGAAAACAATTACTTACAATTACTGGAGCAATGCCAATTTAAATATTTAATTACTTAAATACAATTAATATTTGTTATAGTAATTATATGATGAATAAACAAATAACTGAATTATCATTACTTCAAGTAATTACGTATATGTTTTTTTAATTACCAAAATATTTGTGCTGGAAACTACAGCTCTGCTTATTACTAAACTTTTCCCTCTCTCTCTCTCTGTCTCTCTCTCTCTCTCTCTATCTCTGCCTATTTCCAAGCCTGGCCTGTCAGAGAACTCAGAACACACTTTCACAGCTATTAAAACAAAAGTCAAGCAAATCAGTTCCATTGACGAACTCGCAGAACTGCTACATAGTTATAAATGAAAGACAATAAGATTTTTATTTACGAGTATGTGCTATATAACTAACAAAACAAAACCAAACGAAAAACGAAAAAAAAACTGATATGTTGAAACAAAAAAGCAAGTTGCATAAATATAAAAAAATATTAAAAAACAATGTAAGGTGTCAGCGATAAAATGAAAAACTAAGAAATTAATAAATGTTTAGACGCACTGAATGTAAGGCAAATAGCAACTTTGGTTTACTAAATCAATTAAATTTATTAGCAATGAGATTACAAAAAATATATATATATATATTAAAAAAAAAAAAACGAAAAACAAAAACTAAGTATATATATACGCATATATATTTTCAAAATTTTATAATGAACCAAAAACCAAATTGCAAATTAGTAAACAAATTTATTGAAAATGTTTTTTAAATTCATACGCAAGCAAAAACGAAAAAGAAAAAACCAAAACAAAAAATTGACAACAAATTCGCACAGCAAAACACTTCCAAACAAGAAAACAAAACTTTAAAAAAAAATTAAAATAATCAATTTTAATAGGCACAAGTGAACGAAATTGGATTAATTCCGACAAATGCAAAAAATAAACCGAATTTTTAAAACAAATGGGTAAAAGTGAATGTTGCTCAACACTGTGAAAAGAGAAAGCAGTGCTGTACAATGTTCAAAGGGCATAGAGCATGAATTAATAGAAAATACTAAAACAAAAAAATAAACATTTTGAAATTGCTTTTGAAAAAATTTGAAGCTAATCAACTGACAACAAAAAAAAACTTAGCAAAGTCAAGTACTAGTTATTAAACAAATGCAAAACAAAAACTTTTAAATACTAAAAGAAATTGCTACAAAACAATAAGTAAATCGTATGGTATATATACGGCGATAAAACACCAAAATTCACACTGAATAAACGTTATATTTATTAATTAAATATGTAACTAAATAAAATGTAAAATCAAAACAAAAGAAACCAACTGCTGCTTTTCTACATATATATAGATATATATATATATATATATATATATATATATATATAATGATTATTTATATATATATATACATAAATATAAACAACAATTGTTTCTCGTATATTTATAATGAAATACAAAACGTAAATAGTTCAAACAAATTAGCAAACCAAATACATAAACAAAATTTAAAAACGAAAAACGAAAAATGAAAAAAAAAACACATACAAAAATTCAATTAACAAAAGGCAATTGAAAAAAACGCGTCAAGTTTATATGTAGCAATATGTATGAATGTAAATTAAACAACAATAACAAACAAACAAACAAAAAGTTAATGCAAAAAATGCTTAGGTGAAAAAATTTAATTAGTGTGTACTTAAGAGCAAGAAAGAGAACATTTAACAATTGAAACATTTATGATTACTTAACTAGACATTGAAGCAGCATTAACAATTGAATTAACAACAACAACTACAAGCCACACAGTAAAAAACAAAAAACAAAAAACAAATAAAAAAAGAATAATTAAACAAAAAAACTCAAATTGAACTACTGTACTTATATGCGCGTTGCTGTAATATAACATTTTATGTTAACAAAACGAATATTATAAAGAAAGAAAAACAAAAAACAATGCTAAAACGAGAAAAACAAAAGAAAACAAAAAAAAATGGAAATCTTTATTATATATCATTCGTACTACTTAATACGACTATATATTTATTTAATACAGCTCATTCGTCATTTGTAAATTCATTTGCACCACAAATACTATTATTTTTTCAAACTACTACTAATTAATGCATTAATTAACCAATTAATTAATTTTACATTTAATTTTAATACACTTGTAATTTAGTTGCCCCCCTTTTGCCCCCGCCATTTTTGCATTTTGCATTGTAAATTGTAATTTGTTTAGCATACTTGTAATTATTTATGTATAAAACACACACTTGTATAACACATACACACACACACACACCTACACACACATACACATCGATACTATCTCTGTTTAAAATCTATCTAATTACTATCTGTATTCTATGCCTATTTAATTGCATTTCTTTGTATTTAAACGAGTAACGCAAAATAATAATTCAATAAAAAGCGTCAAAATCGAAGAGAAAACAAAAATTTACTTTTTCCTTTGTCTGCCAATTTTTTTCATTTCAGCAAATTGCCATTATTTTTTATTCTTATTTATTTAGTGTAACATCTGTCTTAGTTTGCAAACGTGTGCAGAGAAAACGTATAAATAAAAATTATATATAAATTAAAAACACAATTGCAATCAATGCGTTTCCTTTAATCGAATTGTTGAGAGTGACGAAAGGGCTATAAAAATCAAACAAAAGTATTTTTATGGAAAATAATTAACCCATTACTTTTCCCTGCTTACATCATTAGCTTCGCCTGCTGCAACCTCCACTCTTCTTATGTGTAGGATAACAAGTCTTTGGAGTGCACAATATCAATGCCAATTATAATCATCATTTCCGCTGGCATCATAGAATACCGCATACCAAAAGCTGTTTTGCAAAAAGGGACTGTGCAAAATAGAACCATTGAGCCCTGTAAGCCTGTAAGGCTTCTCAATCCTATCAGTTACCAGGTGGTCCAAGTGCAAGTGACAAATGTTTGCCAGGCGACAAACCAAAGAAGTTGTCGGTGCAGTTGTGTCTCTGTGGCCAAATGACAAATGACATGTGCTGACATTTGACATTGTCGCTGGAGTTGGGGATTAACATGTTATTGCGGGAGGCAGCAACAGCAATCTGCCATCCACAATCTGCAATCTACATTTATATCCACAGTAAAAGTGTTGGGCTAAAAAAAAGAGCATACAAACACAATTATGGTATGGATGATGCCACCTCCTTGTGGGGCTCTTGCTGCTGCCTGTTTGCCAGCAGACCATGGTTAAAATGAGTGGAGTTTGCAGACCGGACCACACAAGTGGCTCTTGCTGAAGTGGTTGGCAAAAATAAAAAATAAAATACAAAAACAAAAAAGGGAACTCGGTGGCTGCTTTGCATAAATGTCCCAGTCAGCAATCGCCTCTGGCTGCAACTCGTATCTCATGCAGCACCCATTTCCAGCTCACCCTTCCATCCTGCCTGTCCTTTGCCTTTACAGCCATTCCCCAGTTATCAACGTTGTCCCCAGTATGCGGCCGCTTGTTTAATTAAAAAATTAAGTTCCAAATCCCCAGACCATTAAAAAGATTTTTATTTATACCTTTTAATTTCATCAATCGTTGCGACGGCAGGTGCCGTCCAACTGCAACTCCATGTCCATGTCCAAGTCCAAGTCCAAGCTCTCCTCTCTGGACTCTCTCCGGAGTCTCGCATATTTTTTACTAGTTGTTGTTTTTTAGCTTTTAACAGGAAACAATTTCATTTGCGAGCAAAAATTCTTTTCAAATCTGCCGCCGTTAAGCAAAAAGAAAACATGCCAAGAAATAATAATAATAAAAAAAAAACCAAAGCAAAAAAAAGGAGAAAAAACTCTTTACTGACTGAGAAAAACCAATCGCAGTTACAAACTTGTTGTGGGGTGTACACACTTCTAAAGTGAGCTTGCAACGCTTTAAGGGAATAGGTTGGGTTTCATTTCAACCAATTTAAGCAATACGTTAAGGCATCCCTTGAACAACAGCTGGCATATAGCTTCAGGTCTCTCATTAAAGAACTGACATGATTGTAACATTCTAAATGTTCTGTAGGATTTAAAAAAAATCTCTTTGCTGTTAATGTTGAGTATTTATAAAAATCCTTCTGCAAGTTGTATATAGATCCTTCTGCAACTCGATTTAAGGAAAGAGTATAATCAATTCGCTGTTAATGTCTTTGGGTGTTGTTGGCCTGTCGTTTTGTTTCCTTTTTGGGCAGAACGTTTTGTTGGCCCCGTTGCATTGGTCGAGTCTGTGTTGTCCAACCCAAACCCACGAGAGTCCCGTTGCCTCCCCTTGGAGCCCCGCCCCTCGCCTCGCCTCGCCTGTTGGCTGTTGCTACGTTTGCTCAGTTTTAGTTTATGAATGTCGCCATGTTGCTGGTGTTGTTGTTGTTGTTGTTGCTGGTGTTGTTGTTACTGGTGTTGTGGCACATTCCACTCGACAAGCGACAGGATGAAACTGTTGCCTGCATACGGCATGCATATTTCGTATTTTTAGTACAGCCATTTAACATCATCAACTTAAATATGCGTGCAAGATTTATGTTCACATCGGTCCAGGCCCCTTTCGAAGGAAACGGGGTGTGAAGGTGGAAGGGGGCCGTCGTGAGGGTAGTGGGGAGTGGAGGGAGTAGCAACAACGGAACGTTAAAAAACGCAGCCCGTGACCGGCAAATGGGGCTAAAATTGGCATACAAATGTGGCTAACACAAACACACATCGAACATGATATACAATACCAAAAAAGAAAACTAAATAATAAGGCAGACTTGGGTTGCCAAATGCAGTGTGGCGATAAATTGAGATATATACATATATACATACATATATGTTACATATGCATATATATTTGTAAGAATTAAAGACATCAAGGATATTTCCATGAACAAAGGTGTAAAAAGCCTAGGCTTGACTTTGAGATAACCTGAACTCAGCTATTAAACATATATATATAATATATAAACCAAGACAGAAAACTATTTATTATATTTTTAATAATATGATAATATGATGCAAAAAGCCATAAGCAAATATTAATTAATGTATATATTTAATTCATAGCTTGCGGCTAATGCCTTGTAGTTTTAATTTATCTAAGCAGAGGCAACAGGTGCCCAGAAACTTGAATGGTAATTGAAAAGCATAAATGCGGCCAAATGAATGCAAAATATAATTGCGGCCAGCAGCAGCGGCAGCGGCAGCCATCAAGTTGGCCAAATGAAACATTAGGCGTTGGACAAATGCAGTTGCCGATTTGGCTGATGCAGTTGATTTGATTAAACACAATCCATGACTCTGTAATTAGCAACAGCATTCGTCGATTTATCATAAAAATGTGACGGTCATAAACAAAATGCGGGCTGGCGCCAACTGACTTTGTTGGCTTTAAATATTAGCCACAATATTGAAACGTCAGTTGGCCGCATTCAAAGATGTGTGTGTGTGC